TATTAGTAGAGAATTTAGTATAGATGAGATTTCGTGATTAATCAGTCACTTACATTTCACTTGTACATATATATTTAGCCAATTTATCTAAAACATAAATAAATTTAACGAAATAATAAACGAATACACCTTTAAAATATTAATGTTAGTACATTAATTTCACCATACAAGATTATTTTTATAACTGGTCTAACGGTGAAAGTTTATTTGTGCATACTATCACCCAAACAAGTGCGCTTCCGGTTAAGTAACGCCTTAGGTGTTATTTTATATCGTAACGGCCGGATGAAATATTTGAATGGTTATAACGCTGTAGCGTATACGTGAGGCAATTGAAGTATAACTTGAGTTGATCTTGTCATAATTTAGAGCAGATGAAAATGGTTTTAATATGTTTTATTGACCAATATGAAATAAAGAATATACTAGGATGTTACAGGTTCGAATACTGAAGGACAGACACTTTTTGGTATAACATACAGGTTTTAAAACGTGGAGAATAAAGAAAAGAAACTATTACAAATTAAATATTTGTACTTGACTACTAAAATTAATAAATTATTGTACGAGCGACTTACCCTCGCTCAGCTCTATTTCGGTCTCCTCCGCGCTGTTACTTTTTAACGTTTAGTATATGTATTATGTTATACCCTATATGTTGACTCGGATAACCAGTAACCATCATTCTAAGTTTCATTAAAATCTGTCCTGTAATTTTCTCGTGATGCGTTCTCAGTGAGATAGGCAGATAGACAAAAAATTTAAAAACTATAGATTTGGCCTCTGTATCGACAATAATGACTATTTCAATAAGATTTTCCAAAAAATATTTAATATACCTACAGATTTGACTTATTAAATGTATAGATTTATTTGAATTAAATTTTTTTTAAACATAAACCATAATAAAAACTCAAATTTCTAACAACATCCTGCAACAGAATTGTTCTATATTATTGTAAAATACACAATCTATCTACAAAATCGTTTTATGGTAGCAAAAACCATCGTAACCGAGATGCTACGTGAGGGACTAACAGACAGTAACTAGATCACTTGCGGTTATTTAATGATTAGGTATTTTTGTTTTTCTCTGAGGGTGCAATCAGTGAGAGAAACTTGATGATATGTTTATTTAATACGTTCGTTGATTTGAAAGCTTTCAACAATAATTTTGCTAAATAAACTTTCAAAAGCTCTTCCTTGGATATTGTTGGTCTGGTTATTTCTATTGCTATAAAACTTTATGCTTGTATAATAGCAATCAATCCATAATAAAGAAACAGAATACAACTGTAATCAGTTTATAATAAATAAACTATATTAAAAAAAAGTGAAATACCACTCACTGATTGATTAAGATATCTCAGAAAAGTATTTATATACTACAAGCTGGAAATTTAGCAGCTAGATTTCTTCATAGGCAGTACTACACATACGTATGAGGATTTTTTGTAAATAAAACCCCTAAAGAGTAAAAAAGTGTTGGAAGTTTGTAGGAAAATCTGTTGTTTTTAAAGTTACAGTGCTGGACATTGACGACTATTAGGTATAATTAAATTAGACAGTACTTCCTTTGGGGATGAAAACTAAGAAATGATGTAAAGCTTAAGTGAAGCTTTAGTGGAGTGGAAAAATTACTTATACATAAGCAAACGACGCGAGCGGAGCCGCGTTGAAACGCTAGTATTTTATATTATTTAGTATTATAAATATAAATAACAACTATTAATCGCATGTTCCATTCCTCTATTCATATTCTCTTTTCATAATTACAGTAAGATACATGCAAGTGCCGGTCGTAACTCAATAGAATACTAAATGGCGTTGCACTAAATCAAAATTGTCAACGCTACAACTCAATTAATATTGGCTATTGATTTATTTTCTATATAAAATAACACCTTAAATTGCACTAAACGTAGTGTAGTAAGGTTTATAACTATAACATTTATCTATACATAATATAATAAAATTCTTACTGAGTCGAATCTTTACATTATATATTTTTTGGAAAATCTTATTAAAATATACATTATTATCGATACAGACGCCGAATCTATAGTTTTTAGAATGTCTGTCTGTCTGTCTGTCTGCGACCGCATCACGGAAAACCCACTGGAGGGATTTTGATGAAATTTGGTATGATGATATCTGATTATCCGGGTCAACATAAAGGATACTTTTTACTGCAGGAAAATATCTCATCTTTGAGAAATCTATACTAAACATTAAAACGTAAATAGGGTCGTCCCTCGGGTTCGTACCCGAGCGAAGAGAGGGCGAGTCGCTTGTGTATACCTACATATAAATGTTAAATAAAAAAATGTCCTTGTTATTATTAAACAAAATAATATGAGTTTAACTCCAAGCACCTACTTTATCATAATTAAGTATTATGTTAAAATATGTGTTTAAAGTTAATCTAATTAAAATGGTTGTATCAACCTGGAATCAAACAAGTGACTGGTATTCAGTAGCTTAATATGATAATGTACCATCAGATAACATCGAACGTGTTAATTAAAAGCAAGTTAAAATGTTAGAGGTCACAAAAATAAATTTTCGGATCGACATTATCTTTGAACAGCTGCTGATTGCATTTAATGTTAAACAAAAATATCAATAATCTATACAAATAATAAAATTCTAAATGAATTGAATATTACATTAAATATTTTTTGGAAAATCTTATTGAAATAATCATTTTTATCGTTACAGAGGCTGAGTCTATAGTTTTAAGAATTTTTGTCTGTCTATCTGTCTGTATGTCTGAGAACGCATCACGAGAAAACCACTCGACAGACTTTGATCAAATTTGGTCTGATGATAGCTGGTTATCCGGGTCAGTATATAGGGTTAATTTTTATTGCAAGAAAATATCTCATCTCTGAGAAATCTATACTAACTGTGAAATCGTTGGTACCTAGAGACGAACCCGAGCGTAGCGAGGTGAGTGGGTAATTTCTTTATAATTGAAAAATTTGAATATTTTGGTATAAGAAAGGCAACTTATAAGGGTTAGAATAATATTAAGTTATGTGATATAATAATATTTAATAATATTAGAGATTTTATTTTATATAATTTAAACATATTAAAAAAATGAAGTTATTTTAATAAAACTTTTTTCGATGTATATAAATTTAAATTAAAGTATGATATCTAAATTATAAATCCCTATGTCATAAACAAAAGAAACCAAATCTATCTTAGCACTCTAAATTAATTGACTAATAAGTCACATTGGGATATCTTTTAATTAAGCAACTTGAACGATTTTTATTATTTCTGTCATACATATATTAAACAAGTGGCATTTAAGATTAATTTCCATGGAATGCAAAAAGTGGATTTATTATAAACAAAATGTATAGCACAAGATGAATTAAATTAAATATTTTACAAAAAAATATATATCTGTAACAACAAAAGATTTTAGAATATTAAAATAAAACAATTTACAAGAATAATATCTTATATATAAAGTTTCCATGTCACAATGTTTGTTACCGTACTCCTCCGAAACGGCTTTACCGATTTTTACCAAATTTTATATGCGTATTCCGTAGGTCTGAGAATCGGCTACTATCTATTTTCCATACCCCTAAGTGATAAGGATAAGAGTGGTCCTCCCAGACCCCACCCTAGGGACGAACCCGAGCGGAGCGAGGGTGAGTCGCTAGTAACTATATAGTATTACTATAGATGTATGAAAAATAACATTACATATTATTTATTTATTGCGTAATAATAACGATAATACTACGTAATTTTTAATAATACTAGCAACTCACCCTCGTTTCGCTCGGGTTCGTTCCTAGATACGTTTTAACGATTACTATAGATTTCTCAGGGATAAGATATTTTCTGCAGTAAAAAGTATCCTATATGTTGACCCGGATAACCGACTATCATCATACAAAATTTCATCAAATTCTGTCCAGTGGGTTTCTCGTGATGCGTTCCCAGACAGACAGACAGACAGACAAAAAATCCAAAAACTATAGATTCGACCTCTGTATCGATATTAGCTGTACATATAATAAAATTCTTACTGACAATGAGTTGAATCTGTGCATTAATATATACTAAAATAAAGTTTCAGAGAATATTAATTTACAAAAATAATAAAACAAAATAATTAACTCTATCACGTACCTACATATTTCTAACATTAGTATATTTTTATTCTATCAAAATAAATAGAAAATTAAAGTCATATAAATAAATGAAAATCAAGTAGGATATTATTGAAACCTTATTTTAAAGTAGCTATTTGAAAAATCCCATACACTTGTTATAATTATGGCTTTAGTTAAAACATAAAAAAGAGCTTTTATATTTCCTTATTTTTTTATATACAAATTAAAACTAATAAAACACGTATAAATGTGCTCTAAAATATTAATCGGTTAATTTAAATAATATCACAATAAGACGTTCAAACATTTAGAATAAAATGACTCACAGATTTGTTCACATTTTGCCATTTGATAAAACACATAATATTGATTTACATTTCCGTTTGTTTATTAAGTCATTTGTATTAAAACCTTATACATAAATCTTTAAATGTTACATTTTTATTCTATTACGTAAATATTGTATTCAGCCATTTTTAACGTCCCACTGCTGGGTACGGGCCTTCCTTAAATACGAGGGGATCAGGCCATAGTCCACCACGCTGGCCAATTAGCGTAATTATTATAATACGCAAAATCCCTTTACGAAGGAAACTAAAAACGTACCTAGTTACTGTATGTTGGTTTATTGAATTTTTTTCTTCTTTCAGTAGCTATTGATTAGCAAATGATAAATCTATTATAATACATAAGCTATTCTTGTCTGTTGATTTCATTTGTTTATAATTTTATATTGTTCAAATATTTTAAGTGCACTAAATCTACACTATACATCAATAATCTTTAAATTTTATTGATTAACAACTTAATTTATAAAAAAAAACACTTATTAAGCTTGATTGCAAAAATACTTACATCGTGGTCTGGGACGTAAGAGTAGACGTGTAGCTTGTCGATCCTTATCGTCCCTTGGAAGGGGTACAATAAAGCACCCCTTTGAATCTCTGTTGATGTCCATACGCTTACAGACGCCTCTTTCCCCCTAGCACCCCCTGGCCGTAATGCCAGGCTTAACTCCTGAGGTATCAGAACCAGGGTTTCCATATTTTCACAGTTCAAAATTATTAAACATTAAGTCCATCACCATATATCTAAGAACTAGCACAGTCTTATAAGCTCAAAATATCGAGTTCGTTCAACTCGTCCTAATATTGTCTGTGCAATACTTAGGGTGCCTTACGCAGGATGCGCACGCGTTCTTTACCAAACGAACACTGAAGGAAGCGCTAACATTGACCTTAGCTACGGCCGTGATCGCGTTTACAGTTCATTTTTTGTTCGATAAAAAGGAGAGGAGTAAGGCCCTAGAGTTGTAAAGCTGTGTTGGCAGAATTTGTGCTCTATGTACATGGTTATAAGGTGCAGTGGACAGTTAGGTTAAGTTTGTAAGAATATCCCCTCCGAAGGCGGCACCTGTACTCGCGCGCCGCCCGTCATATCGCCGCCGAGCTTCGTATCGCACACCTGATTCTAATGCTACCTGTTCAGTTTTTACATCTGCTCTTTTTAGTGACGTTTTAATTGAGGCTCTAGATTTGGACTGATATATTATTATAATCTAGTTTTTTTTTAAATTTTATTGCTTGATACAATTTTTTCGATTTATGGAAAAAAATATGTTTAATTCTTTAAAAAAAAAAACTATATTGTGAAATGAAAGGTTGATTATTCATTTTTTATCCTTGTTTATGGTCATTTTTTTTAACTATTTCATTCTTTCTCGTAGCCAGATACAGATATACTTTACATTTATATACAATACTAATGAAAAAAATGTATGTCCAATAAAAAGCTATCAAAGCTTTTTATCTGTCATCATATTTTTAGAAATATTTGGGTAAAAATTTACTAGGTATTTGCGTAAACTTACACAAAACTGAAGCAGACTACAATAAATTTTAAATATTAAATTGTAACGACTTAGACTGGAATTACCTACCTTTTTTTGAAAAAAGATTACGGGATTGATTCCTGCTCGTAGGTACTTATTTATATGGACCTTAGTATAATTATTATATGTAGATTTAATAAAAGGCAAATTCTGTTTGTTTATATGTGTGTATGTAGACAATAGTGTATACTCTATAGTCACTAAAACAATTTGAACAACTTAAGATTTGTTTAATTTAAGACAGCTGTACAAAGCTAGTATCATCTACATGAGCTAGTTTTTATCAATGTATGTAGGTACGTTAGTGAAGTCGTGCGCATAAAGTTATCTAACAAAGTGAAATAATGTATACAGAAGCGTGTTACTTCGTCATATTATTACTAAATTGGAAATAGCGTGAAACGACGCAATTTTTTTTAATTACAATAATTTAAAGAGGAAAACATAATAATTGATATCAGTAGTTTCTCAACTATTGTCATATTGTAGGTATGAAGAATCAATCAATGTTTTAAATCATCTCGATTTATATAATAGGTACTAGTTTAGAATTTTTTCTTCCTTGTCTATTTACTAAACTATATAAATAAAATCGATAGATTATCTATACTAATATTATAAAGAGGTAAAGTTTGTAAGTAATCTTAAGGTAAACTCTAGATCTACTTAACCGATTAAGATGAAATTTGGTAAGAAGATAGTTTGAGACCCTGGAAAGGATATAGGATACTTTTTATCCCGGAAATCATGGCTTAAGAGAGTGAAAATGGGGATGAAAGATTGTATGGGGAAACAACCCAAGAACGAACCCGAGCGAAGCGAGGGTGAGTCGCTAGTTTTGAATACAACTATATTTTCGAACTACGAGTATTTCGCGGATTTTTTTGATTTTTGGTTCACGACGTTTCGAATGCTTTACAACAATCATGGTCATGGGAGAGGTTAAAGCTTTAGACGTCTCAAAGGAATTAGGTATATACTTGTTACAGACAGTGTCTACCCACAATTTTACAAAATGTTTTCAAAAATTCAAAAATGGCACCAAAGTGCCTTACAATATTTGTTTATAGTCCCCCTCTGCGCTGAGTTTTTTTTTTGTCGAGTTGCCTTTGTTTGGACTAATCACAGAAACTACTTTATATGTAGGTATATGGATTTTCATACGGTTTTCTCTAATAGAAAGAATGAGGTTATATTTTATACACATTTTGAGAAAATATGGTAAATTAATTTATTAGTATAAGGTTTAAGTCTTAAAAAATCGTCCTTTCCAAGAGCTTTCGCAATGTTATTACGTGGAGGATATTCACCACAATAAAGATTTTCACCTAAATATCTACAGACAGTTACAGGGTTATTAAGTTACATTTAAAAACCATTTTGTCAACTTCTTATTATTGTATTACGTTAAAATAGATAAGGACATATATTCATTAATATAGAACTTGTGGGATTGCGGTTACGCCAGGTGTGTATAGGTCATCGACATTTTCTGTAACATATATGCTGGGTGCAACACAAGCAAAATTAAACTTTACCAATGACAAAATAAAGTCTCTTTTAGAATAATAATTAACATATCGATTTCAATCTGTGACTATAGACAGGACATCGATTATATTGATTTTATTGCGCATATTTCCATGTATAAATAAATATATTTTTCTAAATTACAAATAAAAAAATTAACTTCCTCAATCTGAATAAGTTGTCTGAATCTTAATTCGTGCAAAGATGATATCGTTTGAGATATTCTGATATACTTAAAATAATCTTAAACAGTTATACCTACTCGTATAAATTGGGCAAAAAATTCTTATATATTCCTTATTCCTTTATTAAACTTAGGTACCTATATTGTAGTTAACATTCGCATTTAGTCTATAATTTAAGGGAAAATTCTTAACACCAAACTTTTTCTACAACAAAATAAAACATTTTTATACAAGTTTTATATCACAATACTATTTTGTAAGTAGGCATTATATATTTACCTTTCTAAAATTTAAGTTTCTAATAGTGCTTATCTATACTAATATTATTAAGAGGTCAAGAGGTAACTGCCTCGGTGGTGTAGTGGCTAGCATGTACGGCTGCACACCCGGAGGTCCTGGGTTCGAGTCCCGGGTCGGGCCAAGTTTAGTTATTGAGTCTTTCTGTATAGTAAGTCTCAGTAACAGCCCGGAGTTGGGAAGTTGGCGGTGTTTCACCCCCGTGCCTCGGAGAGCACGTAAAGCCGTCGGTCCTGCGCCTTAACTCTTACCGGTCGTGTCGAGCAGTCATCCCATCGGAGTATGAGAGTGATAGGAATAGAGAGTGCACGTTGTGTCTGCGCGTACACTTGTGCACTATAATATCTCCTGCGCAGTTGGCTAGTCTCAATGAGATTGACCGCCGTGGCCGGAATCGGTCAGGAGAACATCATAAAGAGGTAAAGTTTGTGAGCTTGTGACGTAGTAGGGGGTAATCTCTGGATCTACGGGACCGATTTGCGTAAAATTTGGTAGAAAGATAATTTGAGACCCTGGGAAGGACATAGGATACTTTTATCCCGGAAATCATCCCTCAAATGGGTGAAAATTGGGATGAAATTGTGTATGAAGAATCAAGCTACGGATGAACGCAAGCGAAGCGAGGGTGAGTCGCTAGTACATATAAAGAAAAATAGCGATTTTTTTTTAATTATTTTATAAATAGATCAGTTTACTTTGAAAAACTGAAAAATGTATAATTTTTAGATAAAATTTAACTTAATACACATCTAATATAAAGCACAGAATAAATTTTCAAATTGTAATAATGGTCTTATAAATATACCTTCCAAAGTTTAAAAGAACATCAACAAACATGAACTTAAATAAATAGAAAGAAGATACTTCTTGATTTATTATATATAGTTGGTCACTTACGCGTTACATGTAGGTACCTACCTACCTTCAAAATTACTTTAAAAGTAAAAATGAGATTTTTATAGGTAATTCTTGAATCTCCTTAGATGTACAGTTTTTATTTTGAAATTATATGAGAACATTCTTGACATTCTATTTAATAAAAAACATGAAAATCGGTTCCCTAGAAACGTGTAACAGGAGTCCTCTCATTTTAAAGGAGATAAGGCTATAGTCCACCACGCAAGGTTCCCTCAGACATACAGATTTCATGACAATCTTTTATTACAGCGTATTAGTAGGTGATAGCCTTCATATTGAAAGAGTTTCACATAAGAAAATCTCCGAGGTGATTGTTCACGCTTCCCTTAGATTTCCAAGCGAACGCTTTACTAATGGGGATCCAAATGTCTTAATTATTATGTGTAAGTACCTATGACATATAAAATATTCGTCTATTTAGAGAAGTTTTCTCTTTTAGTTTATTATATAATTGGTTTAAATATCATTTTCAACTTAGTGTATCTTTTTTTATTTAAAAAATAACTAGCGATTTACCCTCGCTTTGCTCGGTTGCGTTCATAGATTAATGCTTAACAGTCATCTATGTTATTCCAGGTCAGTGTATATGTCCAGTTCAGATTGCACGTTTGGCTCAGTTTGCAGTGAGCCTACTTGCTGTGACAGTGGTCGTGGATTCGAGTCCCGCTGGAGGCATTCATTTGTGTGATGAGCACGAATGTTTGTACTCCAGTCATGGGTGTTTATATTTATAATATGTTTGTATTTAAAGTTATATATGTGTATCAACTATCTGGTATCCATAACAGAAGAATCGTAGCTTACCATGGAACTAGATGGTGCTGTATGTTAATGTCCCAAGATATTTATTTATATTTTTGTGTATTACTATATAAATACAACTATTTTAGCTTGGAGAAGTAACAAACATAAAAATATACAAACTTAATATAGTATAAAATAATAGTCCGATTAGCAATTCATACTTTACGTGTTACATTGTACAACATTATACAAAACCACAAATAAAAAAGTTCAAACGCCAGATGGAGTCACAGTTTTCTCTTTTTTATTGTTTCTGATAACCACAGACATTCGCGATCTAGAACAGGGGCTAATAGATGTGGTATATGTACGTATTCAATTCAATTCAATTCTCTAAATACTTGTTTTACTTAAAATGTCAATTCAATTCTTTTATTTAGTGGCCTCCAGGAGTGCCAATTGGGCACAATTTACTCCGC